TTAAATATTAAAAAAAAAAAAATAAATAAATAATTAAATAAGTATTTTAATCAAACTTCAAATGCTTTACGCTCCCATTGAGAGCAACCCCAATACCTACAGTTATGATCCGCTATAAGGGTCTGCAGACTGGTGCCATTTATGATGAGCTCAATCAGCTTGTTGCGGCTGCACTTCAGCGTCTCCAACTGTGCCAAGGTGCTCAGGTCCAAGACTTCCATTTCGTTCTCGCACACCTCCAATTGGGTCAGGTACTGCCCAGAGAAAGAGAAGATATAGTCGAATTCTGTATTATTCCAGCTATACGACAGCTAGACTCTTACGTTGTAATTGCCTATTAAAATGCTGCCGCACAGTTGGTTGCCCTTCAGGCTCAGCTTCTTCAATGGGGGACTCTCATTTGGTGCGACTTCTGCTTTTTGGCCAGAGATGGAGCCGTGTTTTATGGTCAACTCTGAGGCGCTGTTGTTCTCGTTGTTGTTGCTGCTGTTGCTGTTGTTGTTGCTGTTGCTGTTGGTCTCGTCGCCATTACTAGCCGTAACTTTTAATTTCGATTTGTTTACCTCCGTCGTTTTCTTTACGGCCTTAAGCATTGTTTTCGTTTTCGTTTACTTTATTGGTATTTTCCTTTAGTTTTTCCGTTAGCACTCGACGAGGTGGGTGGAGTTGAGGTCCGAATGGCAACAACTTACCACACTGCATGCATGAGCAAACACCAAACAAAAAAGCCAAGCCAAAACGGCCGAAAATCTGACGAAGTCTGCCCAAAACACCGCGAATATTCCAAAATATTATTATGAACAAATTTGAAATGAATGGGGCTAGAACTAGATTTGAAGTACACCCCAATTACATTCATATAATTGACTTTAGATTTGACAATAATTTAGTCTTCTATTTGGCTTAGTCTTAGTCTCTTAGCTCTTCTTCTGGCGGCACAACAATCCACACCGGATCCAGGTCTATGCACAACTGAAGACGACTTGCCGTTACGACAAGCCAAAACTGTAACGCTTGAGAGAACGCCACGGTTGCCTCTACCCCTCTCGCCCGACACCCCGCCCGCTCTCATCCTCCCTTCGACCACTGCTCCATTCTCATATATGCCTTTTCCATGGGTTCGTTGCAATACGACGATATGATGTCTGAGCAACATTTTGGATTGTGCTTGTGCCATACGAGAGCTCTGGCGCAACAATTATTTCTTATATCCGTACAAGCAGTGAACTCGCGTTAGAATGAACTCAGCCTATATTAATATGTATGAAGTGAAATGAAGCTAATATTACAAATATTTTTAGCCATCATATCTACTTACTAAAAAACTAATACTATAATATGTACAAAATATAATATAATATGTACAAAAAAAAACTATAAAATAGCAATATCATTATCCCTAGAGATCATATTTCAGGATATGCAAGTAAAATACCTATCATAAAATATTATTTTTATACTTTTTTACTAAACTAACCCAGATATTAAAAAAAAAATAATAATAATAAAAAAAATATATATATTAAATATTCATAGCATATATATTAATGAATGCACCAAAATCCAGTCTTATGTTTACAGTGAGTATTTGATGTCTGAGTTGCAAACATATAGATAATCCCACATTAAACTCAATAATTGAATTTCATTTTAGGCAATGTTCACTGTACTTAAAGAGTGGACGCCTGCTCAGTTCGACAAGTATGTATATTTAACGTGCACTCTAAATGGAGTTTAGTTTATGCTAAGCTCAAACAAGAGAGTGGGAGGGAGACAGACAGAGAGAGGCCCTCAAGATCCATACTCACCATGCACTGTTTGCCCCAAAGTATCCACATACATACAGCTATACCTACGCATATATCTATGTATGCACATAAGCTGGGTGTTCGTTTACATAGAGCGCCATTCGGAATTGACACACAATTTAATAACAATGAATGGAGGGAATGTTTTATAGATATACTACGTATAGTATCTATATCTGCGTATTCAAGGTATCTTAGAGTCGAGTGAGAATGGAAGATGCGAATGGAGTGGCGAAAGAAATAAATACATTTGTTTTGTAGCTTTGTGTTTTTTTACACGAATTTAAGAAACAATTTGTTTTTTTATTTTTCACTGAAATATAATAATCGTTTGTCATGCACTTACGCATTAGCAGAAACTCTTTTAATAATATATTTCATTTCATTTCAATATTTTGTTTTGTTTTGTTGCTTGATTTGTATTTTTGTTTAAGATTTTGTATTTTGTAATTTTATTTTATTTTTTTTTTTGCATTTTCTTAATCCCGTTTTTGTAAGATTTTTTTTTTCTTTTGCTTCCATAAAAAAGGTAACAACGTTTTTACATAACGTAACCAAAACAAGAAAAAAAACGCAGGCAATCATGTTCTAATTGTGGGCGTGATCTTAGCCATTACATAAATCTCAACTTGGCCATATGCTATATATAAAGACATATATATATATGTTTATGTATATGGTTTTTACTTATGGTCAAGTAAGAGGTTAAATATATTTATTAAAAAAAAAATATTTATATATAAAATAGAGTAACGCGTTTTATACATAAWATACGCCATATTCAAGTAGATGTAGGGTGTGTATGTATGTGTGTATTGGTATATAGTCATATATATATAT